TCCTTCCGGTAATCAGATCTTTTGTTGTAAATATATCCGCTTTGTTGGATTCTCTCTTCCGGCTTTGTTCGGATCTTTTGTTATGTAAGATATTTCTGCTTGGCAGATGTCTAGCTTCCGATTTATTCGGATTTTGTTTTCTCCTTCATAGGAACCGGCTCCTTCTTCCTCAACTTTGTTGTGGTGACGAAGCCATATCTCGGTGGTGTTACTTTCGAATCTCTTGCCCCTTCTTATGGCACTCGTCCCTCTTGGCGAGGAGATAAATCTCCCCTTACATCAGTAAGGTTACACGTGTCTGTTTGGGTAACATTTGGGTTTCAAATTATGTTGTAACTGGGCTTTCCGAGATCACTTGTAATGCCCAATGGGCTTTTAATGAAAACAGTTTGACGTAAAAAAAAAAAAAATTAAAAGCTTTTACCTCAAACAAATATTTCTCTCTCCTTCGAGAAGCTTCAGGCGATCAAAAGGGAGATCTAGGGTTTTAATCCATCGACTTCAATCAATCCATTTTTCCAGTTTAATCTGCATCAAATCTTCTCCAAATCATTCTGATCTTCTTCTCTTTACAAGAACACTATGGCATCTCACAAAGAGCTTTGGAGAGATATGCAAGGTCTTCGACTTGGACCGGAAAGGGGAAAAGTGGTTTGTTCATGAGGAGGCTCAAGAAGAGTTTGATAAAGAGCATCGGCTCTGTCTTGTTGCAAAAGCGGTGAATCCTGCTCACCAAAACCCAGCTGGTATTAAGGCTTATTTGCCTGGTCATTGGGGATTGGCCGGACAGGTTGATTGTCAAATTCAAGATGATGGTTCGGTCAATTTCTACTTCAAGAAGAAGCATCATATGATGACGGTACTAGAAAAAGCGCCTTATACGTATAGAGGATGGATGGTTGTGCTCGATCGATGGTCAAACAGAGGACATCCTACTTTTTTTCAGCACACCCTTTTTGGGTAAAGATTAAGAATCTTTCGGAGGTTTATCGGCGCCCTAATCTTGTTCGAAGCATTTGATCCATGATGGGACAAGTCTCAGAGGTCTCTGTTAAGGAACATGTACTTCATCAAAAGAAGCTTGCTCAAGTTTGGTTTAAGGTTGAGTTTTCTATTGAGGATAAAATCACTTTGATTCGAGAAGTAGGCATTATGCGAACTGGGGCTTCTATGGAATTTGAATTTGCTTATGGTGGATTAGAAAAATTATGTAGTACATGCGGTAGTCTCCAGCACAGCTATGAAGTCTGCCCTAGAGCTTCTGCGCTCTCCTCTTCTGAGGCAGCTTTCATGGATATAGCAATAGGTAGCAATAACCCTTATGTAACAGCCTCAGAGATACTTCAGGCAATTGAAGGTTTCAATAAGGGTAAGGATATTGGAGAGTATTTGGGTTTATTGGAGTTACAAATGAACGATCCCTTCACTTCTCAGGAGCCGGACACCAGCAAGATCAATCTCAACAGCTCTTGTTAGTGTTAACTCTGCTCCTGTTGAAGTTAAACATCAAGACCCAGCAGAATCCTCTCTGGCAATTGTGGATCAAGGTGATCCTGCAGATTCTTCTATAGTAGATGCTTCTCATGGTACCAAGCGCAAAGCACCTGATACATTTAGTGATGATGATCCTTCTCCAAATAAAAAGCAAACAGGTTCCCCTGACACTAACAA